TAAGCTAAAATGACCCTNTTGCCATTAAACAGCCTTATGACGGCTTTTGATGAATGCATATGCGATGCGCATCACATTCTTTAAGGCATTTTCTCGCAACAAAGTAATTATTGGAACGATTAGTGATATTTGAAAACCAAAAAGCCAAAAATTTTCGTGGATATACGATTCACCCAAATATGGACTTTTTGGAAACAGATACCAGGACTAGAAGGCGAAGAACAGTAAGCTAAAATGACCTTCAAAATGTGATACTCGCCGTTACTGAAAATCCTGACTCATCCATTAGATCTACCTCAGCCAACTTCAGCTTGTCGAAGACTTCAGTTCACAGAACTCTGAAGTCTCGAAAGTGGCATCCTTGCAAAGAATACAAGAACCATGACTGATGACACAGAGAGAAGATTACAGTTTGGCGAGGAAATTAATAATTTTCACTGACGAAGCAACTTTTTGCTTATACGGAACCGTGAACAGGCTAAATACTAGGTTTTGGATGGAAAAAACATACACAACGGATGGAAAAAGTCAATATTTGGGCTGGAATAGTAGGAAATCGCATACTGGGACCTTAATTTCTTTGAGGTCAGTTTGATAGGCGACGTTTATTTGGATGTTTGCGTTTTCAGCTGATTCCTGCCCTAGAATTAATTTTTCCTAAACCTAATGAGCACTATTTGCCTGCTCAGAAATGCTCTCAGTAGTAAAAACATCATAATTACATAAAAACGACCTAAATGTGAAACTTTTCTTCTTCAAAATAATCAGTTTACTTCATTTCATACTTAAAAGACGAAATAAATAATAAAAGAAACATACATCCAGATTAAATTTCATGTTTCGATACTTGATATGACAATATTGTTTGTTTTTTGGGTGCTGTCTTTTCTTTTATGATGATTTCTTTTTTGTCGAGTTTTATTATGAAAGTTAATGTTTTCTTTGGCAATTTGTTCTCAAATTAAACGAATGTAGTGGTTAGTTGAGAGTATTTTTAGATGAAAGCATATAATGAATCAATACGATCTGGAAAATAATCTAAAACTCCGTAAATTCTAGTTAATTGCATGGCTTATAACGACAAATATAATTTCTTATCCCACTCGCCGGGAGAGATCGAACATCCGTAAAATTAAAGAACATATGTCCCAAATTCGTTTTATATATCCCACATTTAATATGCTCACAATTTATCGCGTTGAAAAGGAAGAAAGTAGCAGCCTGTAACGGAGTGATATAATTCGTGTAAAAATTACAAGGTAAATCGATCGGAAATTAATTATAAAATCAAATCAACTTTCCATTTAAACTGAAATTAAACGGCGAAAGTTATACGGACACGATACGGGAAGATGCCGGCTAGATTTTAACTAGAGTTATTAAATTACACACGTGATTGGGTTGCGTGTGGATTGGTGGAAGCTCATTTGAAAGTTGAGTAAAATTTCGAGCTGACGGGCAGTTTTATTCAAAAATTTCATCTGAAGGAACGTTTCTGTGATTACATGTATATTGTGGTATTACTATTTCTCACACCCGCATTTTTTTGTCGGTTGCAGTTCGATACGGTTATTCCCGCATTCCGGTTGCCATTCTGGTCGATGACCGTAGCAGTAGATGCACTTTCCGTTGGCTCTAATTGCGTTAGATATCTAAGATTTGAGTAGGTTTGTAGCCTCACATCGGCGAACTTGCAGAACACCCTGTATAGGTCATATAAAATACAGTCGTTGTTTTTTTACTTCAAAACGTCAACAAATTTTTGTGGGTACGCAACAAAATCATTTATAACATTCTCCCTTGAATAATTTCGTACACTTGCTCGATTCCTTCTGAAAGTACACGCCTTTGCCTGGCCCACATACCATCCTCATTTACATCAACAGGTTTATTCTTCATAAGTATTACCGTCCATCCGTATACGGCTCGGGACAAGGCCAAGGTTGTATGAGAGTTTGTTTAAATACTCGGTCGAGGTCATTTGGTGTTTGACCCTACCGTTCTCTATTGTATCGATACGCGAAACATTGTTGCGGTGGTATCTCACTGTTATTGTTTATTTTAGATCTGGTAGATATTCCAGTTCGAATTTAGCTTTTTGCCGCGGTTAAAAGCGAGGTTGAGGCCGAAAAAGTAGCCTTTGGATTCAGATATCCAATTATACAATTTTAAAGGTTGTTCGGACAAAAAAGATTGAGTGCGGCCATATTTTTCTTCTAGAATCGTTTGAAATCACGTTGATTTGTATACTGTTAACTATTATTTATGCAAATGCCTCGGATGTTTCCATTTGTTAACATTTGAATGCAAATATAAGTTTGATTCTGTATAAAATATAAATTAGAAGATATTAAAGCGATAATAGTTTATATCTTTTTTTCAATCGGCATGGGATTCCGCTTATAACGAGCGTTCAAATAAAAACGTGGTCGAAGTTGGCTCTGACACATTGGACGTAGGGAGTAGCTTATAGCGACCAACTTAACCTCATTTGTCAACGAGCTGTATAGCAGCTGTCAGTTTCAATAACGTTAATGACTATATAACTTTATTTTAAAGAATAATCGTGATAACAATAACAAACAATTAAAGGAGCTGCGGAAAGTGTCCCCCTCCTTGTTATAACAATAAATTAAAGCAGCTGCTGAAAGTGTCCCCCTCCTTGTTCCAAGCACTTTTCACACCTGTTCCTCAAAGAATTAAAGACATTTTCTAAGATGCTCGGGTATTGTTAATTTCACGAATCTTGTCTATAAGTCGAGCCTGCAGTTGGTTTAAATCAGGAATAGGCAGTTCAAAAATAGTGTTTTTAAGGTAAGGCCACAAAAAGAAATCACACGGCGTAATATCACATGACCTCGGTGGAAATTCATGTTCAGCATTGAGACTTATTAGTCGATTTTGGAAATCTTCTCTCAACATATTCATCGTCCGCCTGCCGTATGTGCCCTTGCGCCATCTTGTTGAAAGTAAAAGTTTGTAATTTCGTTTTCTTCCAGCTGGTTAACAAAAGGAGCGATAATCTTCTCTATACCTTTGCACAGTAAGAGTACCATTAAAAAAAAATAGGTCCATAAATCTTCCTTCGATTGAGAGCACACCAAACTCCAATTTTTTGAGCGTGTAGAGGGCCCTCGACAAAAAAGTTATCTGGTTTTTCAGAAGACCACATTCTCATATTCTGTGAGTTTACGTAACCACTTAAATGAAACCAGGCTTCATCAGAAAAAAAGGTGATATTATGAAGTTCACCGTAGTTGTTTAAAAACCATTCATAAAATACAGCCCGTCGCGGAAAATCAACTTCATGAATTTCTTGCTGACAAGTTAAACGATAGGAGACAAACGCAAATCTTTTTTTAACACTGTGTGGCAGGTACCGACTGATACTCCCACCATTTGTGATAAAACACGTACAGAAGTTCTTGGCGCATTTTCCATTATTTGTTGGACATTTTCTTTTAATTCTTCAGTCCGCTTTTTAGGTCGGCCGCTTCCTTCTTTTCTTGTTACACTGCCCGTTTCACGAAAAACATTAACACAACGCTGAACTGCACTTTGAAAAATTTTGTATTGTAACGCCGGGAAATTGATTTTGAAATTCTATGAAACATTCCTCAATAGAATACTTCCATATTCCATCAATCTTGCGTCCATTTCTAAAGTAGGACTCTATGATAAACACTTTTTGTTCTTGAAGAAAACACCATTTTAAACGCTTTTTAAAACGAAAATATTCAAATTGATAGCGGCGATATAGCGCTTTGACAGATGACGTTTAAGTTCATTTGCTATACACTACGCCCTACGTCCAAATTTTCAGAACCAACTTGACCACGTTTTTATTTGAACGCTCGTTAGTAGCGTTCTCTGAGGTTGTGACCCTATTTTCGAATCAAATTGTACTTTCATCTGATTGAACTTTACATCTGGAGTAGAACGGTTCCCATGAAGATAATTTTTTCTTATAATTAACTAAATTTTCTCACGTTTAATGAATATCGGAACAATTTCCTTTTGATATACTTTTCTAATGCAAAAAAGGAGGTTTTTCGTTCGATCACGATAATCTTAGGATTAAAAAATCATCACGTTTTCCTCGCGTAGGTATTCACTTTCAAAGTGACGAAACGTAAAACTGAATCGGGGCATTTTAACCTGACTCGGACGTGGACTAAAATTACAATTTTAATGATTCTCTTTGACCTACTAGAGGCTGGTGTCTGAATGACATGGAGACCCACATTAAAACGTCATGTAACGACTCGCCTACATTTTAACAATAACAGAAAATGCTTTATTTATAAACGAATAATAAAAAGCAGTGGTTTCCTTTGATAAATTATGCATTAACGCATGGAATAAAAAATAAAACCGTGTGTTAATTGATGTAGTAATAAATATCTTGTACATTTATTTGATTTAAATGAAATTTAGACATGCAGTGTTAGAAAATCTAGCGTTCTACATTGCTTTCTCGCGAAAATCCGGTAGAAATGTGATACATTAATTAGTTTTAGATTTTTGCTTTTCTTTAAGCTGCTTTTGATACAATCTAAGGGATATTTCAAACTGTATAGGGGTCACATAGTTCATACATCAATTTCATTGGCTACGTACGCTTCCAATTATATTAAAGGGATTTTTTTGTGCTTCGTAGTAACGGAGAAAGTGAAATTATATACGTCCGTAACTTATCGCATATATTAAAAGCAACAACATATTATGATTCCATTTAATACACATTTTGCACGAGCTTGATAATTTAACGTGCTTTTAATCAGTTTATTCATACTCGGATATGCCAAATAGAAAGTGCGTTTTCTAAACACTCCTGTCTGGCCAGACAGAGGAGAGAACGACCTTTTCCATTAACAGAAGCAATTAGAAAAGTTATAATATACTGTACAGCTTGATTTACAAAAAAGATATCAGCTAATTTTACTGAAATGTTCAGAAATGGCACATTTTTAGGTGTTTTAATTTTTGTTTTTCTTCAGTTCTTAATGTTGCTGCGGGCAAAGCCCCCATGCAAGTCAGTACGGAAATGGCTGGAATCCCCCAAAAGGCGATAGATGGCAGCACGAGCGCTTTCTTCAGCAGTGAAACTTGTACATTGACGAAACCCGAAAGAAGCCCTTGGTGGTACGTCAATCTGTTGGAGCCCTATATGGTGCAGCTGGTCAGGTTGGATTTCGGAAAGCCTTGTTGTGGTAAGACATAGCTTTTATTATACAGCGTGTCCCGAATTGTATAAACCAAATTTTATCTGAAAAAAAAGGTCATATCGGCGTAGGTCGCTTTGTTTTCGAGATACAAAGTGTTAAAATTGAAAATATATCGCGTTTAAAATAACTATTCGAAAAAAAGAAATAAATTATTCAAATTTTTTGCTACAAGAGAGAATTTGAATTTGACGTTTCGAATTTATTAGTTTTAACCAGTAAACTTTAGATGAGACGGCCCACCAACGATTTATGCGTTAATTTATTTTTAATTTATATAATTTGCAAAATTGCCATTAAACAGCCTTATGATGGCTTTTGATGAATGCATATGCGATGCGCATCACATTCTTTAAGGCATTTTCTCGCAACAAAGTAATTATTGGAACGATTTCCTAGAGAAACGTCATTCTCGACAAATTACAACAATTACTTATCGCTGAATTAGAATGGGGAAGATTTGTCATAAAAGTACACTTTCTGCACACAGATGCAATAAATGAAAGTGAAATTTTCAACAGTGTTGCATTGGATAATGTCGTGTGGTATTTTTATGTCCCGAACGAAATTGGATTTAAATTAGTACTAATTTCATTTGGAAATTAGTTTTACTGATGCAAAATTAATGAAAAAACATGTTCTTTATTTACATAATCGTGATTTTCGTTTGTTTTGTTGATTCTTCTAAATCGCGTAATGCAACTTTTTCGTAGATCAGACATTGAAGGCTATTCTGTAGTTTTCTTTTAACATTTAAAGGCTCCTTAAAAAAAATGGTATTCCTAACGCTCGTATTATAAACCCTTAAAATAAACTGTTTTTAAAAATCCTTGAAAAGTTATCATATACTGCTCTGACAGTAGTTCAACAGTGTTGTTTTTAAGTATCCGCGAATGCAGCTAAGAGCTCGCCCTCTGGCGGTGACAAGTGAAACTAGTAAAACGAGGTAAACATTTCTCATGTGTGACATTCCGTTTTGTATTTTATTTAAAACTGTGTATAGTGTTTGCTTTTGAACACTGTTATATTAAAAAAATAATGTGAGGAAAACTTCAGCAGTTATGGACGTTAACTAGGGTTATGGATAAAAAGAAGAAATTGTCGAACTATTATTGTTCAGTTCATGGTTGTTCTTCATGGTCCAAGAAAAATCCAGCATTAAGTTTTCATCAAATTGAAGAAATTTTCAAAATATTATTGTCGATAGACAATACTCCCTGAATTTCAAGAGAGTTATTAGTAAAGGTACTAGTTTGCAGACACAATGAATAAATTTCTAAATTTAAATCAATGCCCAATTTTCACACATTTATAGTACCACATGACCAGCCTTAAAAACTGCCTCTTGTTCTGATATACGAAAGTTTTTGTTGTCACTTAAATAGGAAATGTTGGTATTCCACAACGGATAAGTTCATAGTTATAACCTCAAAAAATGTACATTAAATTGTAATGCTAGAAACAAACAAGGTATAGACATAAATACTTGCATTAAAATTTATTTATGAAAGATTTGAAACCTATAAAATATCATCATAAAAGTCAAATAACCGCAGTTTAATAACAAAATTAAGGCAAGTTTGTTTAGGTGACTTTATTTTTATAATTTGTCACAATATCCTAGGCTGGGCACGTATCGTACAAGCTTTTAAACAAATTTTATGCAATATTTAATACTTTATTTTATTTTAAAGAAATCCTTTTAACATGCTTTAATATTTTAAAAATAATTTTAATAATTAATAATTTTAATCAATGTAATGCTCACCAGGGGCCAACAAACCGGCAACCATAGTGGTGCGAGTGGGCAACAACCGTCCCGACCTGGGCAACAACCCGATCTGTAACAGATTCACCGGCTTCCTGGAGGAAGGCCAGCCCCTATTCCTCCCTTGCAACCCGCCGATGCCGGGCGCCTTCGTCAGCGTCCACCTGGAAACCCCTACCCCCAGCCAGCTCTCCATCTGCGAAGCCTTCGTCTACACCGACCAAGCGCTCCCCATCGAACGATGTCCCCAGTTCAGGGACCAACCGCCCGGCAGCACGGCGACGTACAACGGCAAGTGCTACATCTTCTACAACAGGCAACCCGTGAAGTTCCGCGAGGCCCTCGGCTTCTGCAGGGCCAGGGGCGGTACCTTGGTGGACGAGAGCAACCCCGCCCTGCAGGGTTTCATCAGCTGGGAGCTGTGGAGGAGACACAGGAGCGATGCGAGCGGACAGTACTGGATGGGGGCCGTGAGGGATGTCCAAACAGGCGGTTGGCAGTGGCTTAAAGGGGATGAGGTGACGGTTTCGTTCTGGAACATGCCCGTCGGGAACGGGGAGTGTGCCAGGTTCGACGGGACCAAGGGGTGGCTGTGGTCGGACACCGATTGTTCCATGCATTTGAATTACATTTGCCAGCATCGTAAGTGTTTTAATAATAGTTTAAAGTAATTTGAAGTAGTAGGCATGAGTGTAAAGTAGTAGGCGTGCATGTAAAGTAGTAGGCGTGCCTGTAAGATAGTAGGCGTGCATGTAAAGTAGGCATTCATGGAAAAGTAAGCATACATACGAATAAAAACTAAATAGAAACTATTTTTTCCTTTGCCTTGTACACTTTTCCCCTCATTTTAGAACCCAAGGCTTGCGGCAGGCCCGAACAGCCACCCAACTCGACGATGCTGGCCTTGAACTACAACGTGGGTGCCACCATAGAGTATTCCTGCGACGAGGGACACCTCTTAGTCGGGCCGACCACAAGGACTTGTTTAGAAACGGGCTTCTACAACGAGTTCCCGCCGGTGTGCAAGCGTAAGTCGTCCCGGCATTCTTTTAACTTTTATTTTTAACGAACTTCTCAAATTCTAGGCATCCAATGTGGATATCCCGCTGATATAGCCAATGGGGAGTATACTCTGGTGAACGACAGTGTGGGTTATCTGTCCAGGGTGGTGTATTCCTGCGACGAAGGGTACGAGATGATCGGAAGGGCTCAACTGGCGTGTGACATCGACGAGAGGTGGAACGGTCCTCCGCCAAGATGCGAACGTAAGTATCGACGATTATACATTTGGATTTGTTTGCCCTTTTGCTTACTAACAATATTTCCATCTTTTTGTAACCGACTTGATTACCATGAAGATATATTTATCGCGGATTGGGTAGAAATTTGTCGAAATTGTTGTTAAGAGGGCTCTATAGCAAATAGCCAACCAGCAATACATTTTATAGGTTTTATTACACAGTTTGTCTAAATATGAATCGATGCACAAATAACAGACTTTCCTCCATTCTGAGACAGATTTTCTATAAAATGGACTTAGTTTGAAACTCAAATAACTTTTTGGTGTAACGAAATTTGTAATTTACGCGGCAAATTACAAATTTCCTTCCAACAAAAAGTTATTCGAGTTTCAAACTAACTCCATTTTATAGAAAATCTGTGTTAAAATGGGGGAAAGTCTGTTATTTGTGCATTAATTCATATTTAGACAAACTGTGTAATAAAAATGTATTGCTGGTTGGCTATTTGCTATAGAGCCCTCTCAAATAACTATTTTCTTGTCCGTTTCTGAAAATAACGCTACATTTTCCAGCTGTGCAATGCGAACCCCCCACCGAAATCGCAAACGGGGCTTTGGAAATGCCCAGTAACGACACAATTTTCGGATCGATCGTCCACTACGTCTGCAACGCCGGTTACAGACTGGTCGGTCCCAATAACGTAACCTGCCTGGCCAACGGGCAGTACGACGCCTTACCTCCGACCTGTCAAGGTGACTATACCTCTGACACTGTTGGAATTCTCCAAAACTCACGATTACGTTTTACAGAGGAACCGACAACCCCCCTCGTGACGGAGATCTTGAAAACCACCAGACCACCCGTACAATCCTCGCCCTCGTCCGCGACCACCCGTCATAGGAGCCGACCGACCCGTCCGCCCCCGACGACGATCCGAGGCATCGAAATCATCAAAGTAACCAACAAGACGAGGAAACCTTCGAGGGTCACGACGGGAGCTACCACGTCCATCACCTCCACGTCGCACGTGCCGTCCATCATAGTGGCCGGCCATCCTCAGGATAACGAGATTGCCGGCAGTTCGAACGTTCAACATGGCGAACATCCCAACGTGAACGTCCCGCTGTCCGTGGACGGGGAACGCAGGGACACGTTCGGGGCGAAGTTAAACGTCGGGGCTATAATTGCCCTGGGCGCTTTCGGAGGTTTCGTTTTCCTGGCGGCGATCATCACGACTATAGTCATATTAGTCCGGAGGTAAGTGGAGGCTCTTCATAAAATTCTACGCTACGGTGCCCAAAATAGTAGGTAGCAGAGTCGTAAATAGGTCAAACCACAGTTTTACTATTCTGTAATTAATTAAATTGTAATGTGCCGTTCATTTCGCATAGTGTTCCGATAATGTATCCGCCCTGTCCCAGCTACCCCAGTTCCCGGCCGAGGCGCGTCAGTGCTTGTCATAAGCGTAAAAGTAGGGAAAAACGTGTTATATTCACATTTTAGTTATTCCAAAGAGTGTTAACGGTCAATCTAGTATGAATAAAGTTGCAGTTTTTACCAAAATTTGTAATTTTAATAATTTTTGGAACATTCTGAAACAATACACCCCAGGAATTGCATAACCCACAAGTTTTACCCGTCGGATGGCCTGCATGTTAGGAATGAGTCGCTGCCTACTATTTTGGACCTCTTTATATTATTTTTATTAAAAATGTCATTTTGAAAGTCCGATATTTAGTGAAAACTATTACGCGGGAAGTAAAAATTCCATTTTTGACAGATTAGACTATCCGTGCCATACATTTTCGGGGTTGCTGAATCCGAATCTGGTGTGCGTTTGACGAAGTTAGCTCACGTCAAGGTTATCTGAAAGTCACCTTTGTTTTTTTGTTGGCAATACAATTGATGTCCGCGGATTTTGAAGAAACGGGCAGTTCTTTGTTGTTTGAGGGTGAAAAAATACCCCAATCGTCGGTGCAAAATGCTTAGGGCGCATGGAAAGGAGTTAAACACAAAAATTTTAAAAATATTTTTGCAAACAAAATTCTGGGAACTTTTGTAAAATCCTTATAGTTTCCGAGAAAAAAATTATTGAAATTGTAGTATTTTGAACCTTCAACGTAGCTGGACTGTTGTAGTCTCTACCGTCGTTTGCGTTGTAGGCTGTGCGCAATACGTTTTCTCTCCACGAGGCTCCGGACGATTTGAATACTGAAATGCGATAGTGTTTACATTAGTTTTTTATCGTTTTAAGCAAAACGGACCCAAATGTGTTTACATGTCGGCGGACAAAATTTTGAACAGTTGTAATTATTTTATTAACTAAAACCACAAATTAATTGTATTAATTAATAATTACAATAGAGGCAAGAACGGTTGAATTTGTTGACGTAAAATAGATGTTATAAAATTTTATTTATTTCTTTTCTTCGGAAAGAAATTCTTTAAATTTTTTGTTTGTCCATTTTTTATTACACTTTGCCGCCATGGTATTAGTTTTTAATTTTTTTTGCAAATAATTAGGTACTTAATATTTTTTTGTTTCTACAGTTGTCTTTGTGTGTGTTTGTTTATAGGTATATTAGAATATACAGAGTGTTTCATAATGATGTGCGAATATTTGAAGGAAGTGTTTAGAAAGTAATTTTAGCGGGGGTACTTCCTATATATTTTTTTGACTTGAACCCCCTCTGAGAAAATATTCAAATTTTTTTTGGAAAAAATAAAAGCTAATATTTTCGGCCATTTTGAGATTTGAATATTTTCTCAGGGGGGGGGGCTCAATCGAAAAAATGGAAGTACCTCCCCTAAAATTACTTTTTAAACATATCCTTAAAATATTTACACATCATTATATTAGGTGAAACAATTTATCATGTTTTATTTTTATTTTTTTTTAATTAAAATGTTTGTTTTTAAGTTTCTGCTAAAATTTCTTCAAGTTACGGCACTGCCAATCGTATCTACGAACGTAAAATTTCTCGCTCGTTGAAAATCCTAAGACAGAAACTGAGTTACCATCAAAAAAACGACAATTGACCTTGAAATAACCTTGAACATGCGCCAATTTCATCAAACCGACACCGGGTTCGAATATGACGGTCTAGTTTGTCACACACTAAACTTTTTTTCCCATTTTATTTTCTCCACTTTCGTCCTGGGCTCCCCCCTCCCCCGCCCCCCATTGACCCCCCCACTAACGGATCTGCGGTCGCAGTGCGGGCGCGTCGGCTCGGTCCTCCCACCGGTTACCCTCGCCGAGCGCGATGCCCTCCCGATGGTACACCCTCCTGGCGTTGCCGTTCCCCGACCAGCAGATAGGCCGCAGGGAGTTCTCCCGCAGCTACCGCTCCCATCGGGCCGGCTACTTCTCCAACCCTATCTAGCCGCGCCGGCGGCGTCGAGACGATAGAGTGAGCAGGTACGAATGGCACGTCCCGCACTGCACTGCATGCACCGCCAAAGCACCCCTATCAGCACCGCTTGACCCCATTCCTTGTTTATTGGCAGCGTGTACGTTTGGCGCACGGCGTTTGACTCGTTGAGAACTAGAAGTAGCGTAACGTCACCTTAAACAAAACTAACGGCGATATTTGAGGTGTTTGAAAACTTGGGTGTATTTTCGGGAGTAGTTTTGGTCGTCAGTATAAGTTTTTAGGGTGATAAAACTGGGTTGTGCTGTTAGATAAAAGATTGGAATAGGTAGTGATGGAATTTGAGGTCAAATATTGCCCTAGACAGTAAAATATAAGTATTTATATCCAGTAAACATCGTCTTTCTCATCAAATATCGTGTTGTCAAAGTTCTTGTCAAATATCGTTACTGGCATAGAAAATAGGCTGTTAATTTAATATTTTCAAGTTGACCTTGGCGTATCTTTTTTATTTCGTTCATAAAAATGCACTAATTTCTGTACTCTACTTAAATGCTCTGATTACCTGCACTTCGGAAAGCATTACGCGGTCAATTTAACAGACGTTTAAACAAAAATTTAATGTACCGTCTCTTCAAAGCAAAATGCAGGAATATCTTGAGTAATTTTTGAGTTAGGTGTTTTAAATATTGTTAAAGTTCACTTTATACGGGATGTCCCCCAATTCAACAGCCAAACATTAACATAAAATGTAATGTAAAATACTTCACCTAAATTAGGTTCACAATCTAAAAATATAACTAGATTCCTTTTATACAACAACTGAGTTGTGGTACTGCCCAGTGACATCGTAGACAAGAGTTTAAGTGCAGTTTAAGAAATGAATTATGACTCGATTATTTATTTGATTAAAAAAAAAAATGAATTTCAGATAAGTATTCCGGGGAATACCCCTAAAAAAACTGACTCCTCTTTAATGTTACATCCTGTATATGTGGTTTCCTTTACACACTTAAACCAAAATCACATAAATACACGCTAATATTTTTTAAATTTCCTCTTTATGTCACGAAAATAACCACAATGCTTTTTTGTGTGTGTGTGAGGGGGCGGCACATTATTACTCTGTAGTCCTTCCGGCTGCCGCGCCGCTGTCTAGAAATCTTCAACAAATTCATGTCGTCTCTTTCCAGGAATCGAAGTGCCAAACATTACCGCCACCGAGCCTCGCCCGACTGCAACACAGTCGCCTCGTTCGACTCCTCCAGCTCGGAGTCGCGCAACGGCGGCCTCAACCGCTACTACAGGCAGGCGTGGGAGAACCTCCACGAGTCGGCGGGCAGCAAGACGGCCCTGAAGGCGGCCGCCACCGCCAACCACTCCCCCCTCCGCAGGAAGGAGACCCTGGACGAGCCGTACCGTACCGACAGGCACCGCGACGGTTCCGAGCCGGCGGACACCTTCAGCGGGAAACCCGCCGCCGAGAAGAAGAGACACCACCACCACCACCATCACCACGACGGCAGGCCCCACAAGGAGGGCAGGGAGTGGCGGGAGCAGCGCCCGCCCCCCGGCAGGGACAGCAAGAGATATTGACAGTCTTGTATGGTGATAACGGTACAATTCGAGGAGTAGGTAAATTGTATTTATTCTGTTTGAGGGGTCGGGGCGAGGTAAACGGGGCGCCGGCGGTGGTTTTATCGCCGAAACGTTAATTTTCTTATAATTAGAGAAAAAGTTAAAAAAATTGAATGTGTGTAAAAAGAAAATATTTTTTGTCTACGATCGTGTCAAAAGTCACAATTTTTTGTGTAAAAATAGACTTTACAGTAAAAGTTTTTATTTCATGCGTTTATTGCGGGATTTCAGTGAAAAAGTTTATAATTAACGCAACTTTCGATAAAAATTTTAGTTTCCCGTTTATTTCGCACTATTTAACTTACAAGGTGTTCCGTAGGGACCGAATCAAAAGCCAGGAAAAGTCACGTCGAATTTAGAAAAACCTTAAGAGGGCTCTATAGCAAATAGCCAACCAGCAATACATTTTTATAGGTTTTATTACACAGTTTGTGTAAATATAAATTAATGCACAAATAACAGACTTTCCTCCATTCTAATGCAGATTTTCTATAAAATGGATTTAGTTTGAAACTCAAATAACTTTTTGGTGTAAAGAAATTTGTAATTTACGATGTTTAACTTGTTCAAAAGCGGCAAATTACAAATTTCTTTACAACAAAAAGTAATTTAAGTTTCAAATTAACTCCATTTTATAGAAAATCCACGTTAGAACGGAGGAAAGTTTGTTATTTATGCACTACTTCATATTTAGACAAACTGTGTAATAAAATCTATAAAAATTTATTGCTAATTGCCTATTTGCATCGAATTTTAGGAACTTCATTATTCGACCTTTTTTTAAAACAAATTTTGCCCAATTCCATGAAAATTTCCCGTCGTATTTTCTACAGAACACCTTGTATTAAGTTTCCATTATAAAATAAAGGATACAACCATAAACCGTACATATTTTAAGGAAAATATTATATCTACATAAAGGCAACTTATTTTTTATATCCTCAAAGATAGACGAGTCAATTTTCTACTAAAACTTTCAAATCGCGACCGATTCGAGACGGTTTCCATTTTAAAGCGACTTTATTTTATCGAGGAATCTTCCGATTCGCCTGTATATATTAATTACTCTTATCCGACTGAATCCCTTGGCCTTACTTTGCGTAAGACCTTAACCCTTCACCGTACGCCAAAGGTAAGGCTAATGTCATTCGTGCGATGGTGGAACAACGACTGAGGACGTTCGGAGTTTTAACTCGTGTAGTAGCATTTTCCCGTACTGTTGTTTTTAAATTTAGCCTAAGTGAAATCGTTAGGGGAGGTTAATAATTTAGTGCCATTGGACTAGGCATCTGTACATCGCATCCCAAATGTATATGTTCACACTAACACGACTTTTAGTCGGTCTAAGTTACGTTTAGGTTACTTGTAAGCGATTTGATATATTATGTAATATATAAAATAGTATAATATATTTATTTTGTGTTACGTTCCGTTTCGTTTGTTTGTTTCCCCCCCACTTTTATTTAACGTTCGAGAAAAATCAACGAATCGTGTGCGAGCGGTAGCAGGACATCTGCGGCTATGGGGATTGAAGATTGATTGCCGTTCCGCTTTTTGGAAGCCCCAAGTACATTTTTAAGGGAGTTTATTTGCTCTATTTCCACATTAAGAATGAGTGCCTACTGTTTCTGTTTGTCCGTAATCGGTACGATAGATATGCAGATACTTTTGTGTTACGTTCCGTTTCATTTGTTTGTTTCCCCCCCGACTTTTATTTAACGTTCGAGAAAAATCGACAAATCCTGTGCGAGCGGTAGCAGGACATCTGCGGCTATGAGGATTAAAGATTGATTGCCGTTCCGCTTTTTGGACGCCTCATGTACATTTTTAAGGGAGTTTATTTGCTTTATTTCCATATTAAGAATGAGTGCCTACTGTTTCTGTTTGTTCGTAATCGGTACGATAGATATGCAGATACAGAGTGTTCGTAAATTCGGTGACGATTTTTTTACCGTACGCCAAATACGTTAGTATTAAACCGTTGAAACCGCAAAGTGGTGTTTAAAATTAATCACGATACCAAATAAAAAACCTTATAAAAGTCGTCTCGGCAGATACTTCCTAAAAGGGGCCGTTGCGAAATTTGTGTTGCGGTTTTCTCTGCCGAGCGACACCTGGCGAGGAAAGAGAAAAGTACTAAGCGCAGGTCGTTGTTACAAAAAAATGTACTTGAAAAAAACAATCCTACCAATCGAGTTCTCACACTTCATTTTATTTCAAACTCTTATTGTAGTGAATAAATAAACATATTTATTTAGTACGGATCGATTCCAAACTACAACAGTTTTGCTAGCAATCCGATTACAATCAAAGAGACGGACAAGTGAACGCCTACCGCAGAGTTCCTGCCGAGCCATACACCTATTATATAATTAATTGTTTCTCTGGCTTGCGTGAGAGCTGGTGGATCGTTGACGGAAATGGGATACAAATTCGCGCAGTGGGACGTACCTGAATAAAAAAATTACAATTATGTAGAATATTACCAACACACTTCATCTAACGGATGCTTACCATCGATAAATATCACCGGCGAGTCTGGATTGACGGTTTCGGTGAGGCCCATGGGATACCAGGGGTCCAGGGAGCCGTGGACGTGGATCACGTTGGTGGCCTCCGTATCGTACCCTCCGTAATACCTGTTTGTTCTCTCTATGTGCTCGCTGGTAAAGGAAGGGGTGAACGCTAATCCGAAAACGGTCGAGCATATCTGGGTGTAAAAGTCTATGCCGGTTCTGGTGCCGATGATCGGATCTTGTTGGCTTGACGTTTGGTACCATCCGTATTCGGTGCAGGTCTGGTAGTACCACTGGCGAGCTAGAAGATATTTTGATGATTTGGTTTTAATACATGTAATTGTATTTTTGGTCGGGTAGTTTGGTATATCGTTCGTCAAATAGGTACAATCTCATGGTTCAATTTTCTAATTACATAATACGAAAAAAAAAATTTACGTTTCCAGTTGTTACAGTTGTAGCATATGCAACAAAGTAATGCATTGTGTGTAGTATTAACATTTAAAATATGGCATACTTTGTAGGTTATATCTTACAGAACGACCTATGCCAGTAGATACAGAATAAAAAAATTGAAATTAAGGTACAATTTCCAAAGTAGGACGTGTGCAAAACAGCCTTATAAACAAATTGTCCCAAGGTCTGGCAAAAGCTGCTCGAGAATTCGCTCTTTTTTACATTAAACAGTGCTTATTTTCACATCACCTACGCCTCTTTGTTCCTAAGATAGCCCTTTTTATAACGTAAATTATTAATTAACTATTGGACGTATTAGACTGGGATTTTAGAGACAATTAAAGAAATGGTTAAACTTTTATTTTCAACAAGTTTTACAGTTTTACATTGAAAAGTTAACGTTAATGAACTGGGAACGCTGGAGAAGGAGCGTCGGGCCCGCGCACGCGCGTGAACACCGCCCTCGTCGCGCCAGATTTTTTACCAAATTTGAAATGTTTTAGTCAAATGAACAGAATAGAAAAAAATGTCTACTAATAATTTTTTCACATTCAAACTCTAATTCGACTGCAGTAAATTTGCTGGTTGGTACTTGCAAACTTGAAGGTAAAATTGAGGAAAATTGGAACGCACTTATTCGTAAATAAATTCATAAAGTTATTTGACAACAGATTTGGTACATTACATGAATTTCACTTCTTCATGAAGCGTCAAAAATTCACAACTATTAGAAATATGTTAGTTTTGAAGTGTTTGGAATGTACTTACTTGATAAAAAAGATAAATATCATACAGGAATTCTAAAAAAGTACCGTAAAATTAATTCCTCATTAAGAATCTATTAATTTATATATTCGAGATAGTAACATTAAAATATATTATTTCCTAATCATATGAATTAAATCAAAAAATGACAAGTACCAATGAAATCTCGAGATCAAATATTTCCGAACCTTAAACGTTTTCAAGGGTTTATTTTAGAAACTTAAAAGTAAATCTAAACTTAGCCTCAATTTTCAAGCACAAAAACGCATATACTTACAATTCCTAGTAGACAAAATAGCCGTGTTGCCCAAAGTATTCAAAAGAGCTTGGAACCTATAAGCGACACAACTAGTCCCGTACAAAAACCTAGCGACTCCCGCCAGTCTATCGATCTCTCTACCAAGAGATACATTATTGAAGATGTTGCATAGGGAGTCTATGGTGGGTTGGCCGGCAATCCCGTGATATTGCACCACGCCGGCTATCCTACTGCTGAGTCTCTCGAATAGGTACGCGATGTTGTTCTCGATCCTGTTCTCGTCAAGGTTTATGTCGAGACACAGGTTGAACAGGGCTGTGACGTTCTCCTCGTTCGGATTGTTTATGTAATATTCGAGCTGTTCGAAAGACTTCTTCATCGCGAGCGCACACTGATGGCTGTTACTGGACAGGCTGTTGAAGACAATCTCAAAGTATTCTATAATAAGGTTTAAATTGTTACACAATGAATGAAAAGTGTTTGCGAATGTATATCTTTGTCAAGGAGCAACGGTTCCAAAGAAACAGTCCCCAAGTAACGGTTCCAAAGGAACAGTTCCTAAGTAACGGTTCCAAAGTAAAGGTTCCTACGTAACGGTTCCAAACAGTTCCCAAGAAACGGTTCATAAAGAACAGTTCCCGAGTAACGGTTCCAAAGGAACAGTTCCTAAGTAACGGTTCCAAAGGAACAGTTCCTAAGTAACGGTTCCAAAATAACGGTTCAAAGTAAAGGTTCCTACGTAACGGTTCCTAAAGAACAGTTCCCGAGTAACGGTTCCAAAGTAACGTTTTCAAAGGAACAGTTCCTAAGTAAGGACTTCAAAGGAACGGTTCCAATGTAACAGTTCCAAAGGAACAGTTCCTAAGTAACGGTTGCAAAGTAACGGTTCCCAAATAACAGTTCCGAGAAACAGCTCCAAAGTAACAGTATTTAGAAAGCAACCGTTACTTGAAGCAGTAGCAGATATAAAATAACCGGTACGTAATTATTAACGAGAAATATGTTCATTGGATATTGAGGGTGTACTTCAATGCCGGACTTGGCTTTAGTCCGTAGTTTTTTAGCAAGTTATGTTTTGGCTGTTCGTCAACTGGAAATTTTTGTGAATTTGTTTTAAAATAAAGAAAGTTATGTTACTGTTCAGTTTGACATTGATCTATTACGTTCAATAAATCATACTCTATGATACCGTAAAGTAACAATAATCATATATTAGCAGGGTTTAGCGTTAATCTCATTAATACATTAAAATAACAATTGGTATAGTTTCGGAATAAGATACTGATTTAGAAATTTTCCATTTGAACAAGTGCTTGGGTCGAGACATAAGCAATATATTTGTTGTTGTTATTGCAACAGAACAGGTTTTTTTTTTGTCAAAATGTTAAATCTAAACGTTTTAAGGTTGTCACAACAAGACATTGACTTACCATAGAAATCCAAATGGGCATAAACGGGGCTACTGGATGCCATGACACCGTGTATCAAATGGGGATATTTCTGTCTGGCCCAAGTGGCCAGAGACCCCGAGTAAGATCCCCCGAAAAGTATCCATTTCACATTTTGAGGCAAATGATACTCGCGATTCATCGCACTTATGAAAGTTGCGATGTCCTCAATGGCCTGTTGGCTTGATAAGAAGCGCAGATTAGGAAGACTTAGATCGCTAAAAAAATAAAACGTAACTTATCATTATTAAGGTTTTCTAGTTCTGTTTGTTAGAGTTTTTAAGGGGTATGTAAAGAGTTTCATTAAAAAATTTACCGTAATTACAAATTGTAACTGACTTTTCCATATTTACGGATTTCCGAATATTTCCTTTGTTTTTTTTCCTTGATAAACTATTATAGAATACATAGCAGATAATGCTTCAGGTGTATGTCATAACTTCAGTAGGTTGTCCTTTGGGTTATTTTACGTTAAAAAGCCTAAGGGTCGAAAGCGAATTGTCTCCGAGACAACCAAAAGTAATGACATTGGCTTAGAAAACATGCTGTGTAAGTGTATATTAAATCGATACGTATTTAAACAAAAATATTCCCATTCCATTCAACAAATGAATAATCTAAACCCATAACAGCAACAACAGATAGCACTTATCTTGTACTGTTTAAGAGTAGTACAAGCATGATAATTTGCAATTAAAAACTTAACGGTGAGGCTTTGATAAGTTTAATAATGACTCACATCCTCTTTAATATTTTTGCGTCAGATTCGGAAAAATGTTGAAGCAAACCGCAATTGGGAATTAAGAAACTGATTCTAGATTTAACACGAACATACCTTAGCGGATGACTTTCTCCGTAAAATCTGTGCTCCAGCTGAAATAAGAGAGCACCATATTCCCTCGCAGTTTGGATCCATGCTCCAGCGGACATCCATTGTACGCCAGCTTGTCCTTCACCCCCAATCAGGAGGAACACGACAAATCCTTCAGTCGTATTGAAATGTTGCGTGTTTACAAAATACCTCTGGAATAAGAAAAATGTGACTAAAAATGAATTCAGGAATAACGTGAGTTGTTCATCAGAAATCACGTATTGTCCTTGGAATTATCTTCTTTTTTTAACAGGAGACAAAATAAAACAATTTAATGACAATAGTTATTTTGTAAAAATGTTTTTCTGTATTAAGTACCTGTGACCAGCGGGCTGTGTTCGTGGGGTCATAGTGGTCCAAAACTTGAGAAAAGTACTGCGTGGTTACGGCTTTCGTGTCAAGATCGGTCGGGGGTGGAAGGAAGTAATTTTCGTATTGCCCCAGGAAGGTATCGTCCAAAGCAAAAGCGTGATGCGCACAAAAGAGGACTACAAAGACGTGGCTTTTCATATTTCTTAAATTCGGGCGCACATTACATTCGTGAATGAAGACACAAACCCTTGAGACTCGAGTTCTTAAAGATATGATAAAATAATCTTGCCTAATCTTCCATTAATCAGCAGCATATTGAAATGTGACGATAATATACAATGCGGGAAAAAATATGGAGTGAGGAGATAAATTGTAAACAATGAGTTTTTTGCGTGTTACTGATTTCGTTCATTTAAAAATATTAGGTGAGTGTCATTATCCTTTATTAATTGGGAAATTAGATTAGACGCGAAAATTTATTACATACAGGCAAATTTATTTTTGAAAAAAGAGAAATGTTTATCTGTGACAAGGAAGCCAAATTCGCAAAATTAGTCATTACAATCGACACTCGAAACAATCCGAAATAAACTGCGGGTTGTATTTTATATTGCAATCTGCATACTTTCTACATATCCCAACTCCATAGGTATGACCTGGTTTCCAAGGTTGCGGGAAAACAGTACACGAGATACTATTAACGTTGGTAGGTTTGAATATGTTTTTTTTATTTATGTACTTCTGATTCGGCAAGGCTGTTTCGCTTCAATGTTCGAACGCTTTGTAGTCCCGGTCAGAAAATGTGTGGGCACCGAATTAAAGTCTTTTAAAAGGTCGTGAAATTTTTTTTTTTTCGATTTTCTGTCTTTATTAGGCCCTTCGAGTACATGGTTAAAATTAATAACATTATGATTGAATGACCTTGTATATTTACAATTTATTAGTAATGTTTATGGCTTCTGAACATGTCAATTTGTTCTATTCTAAGGAATTTGAAACTTTTCTTAGTAAGACTTTTTGCTTATTGACATTTAGGTGGGCGCAATGGGAATCACGTATATATAGACCAGTGCTTAAGCCATCAAAAATGGTAAAAAGTGAAAAAAAAATATAGTAGGATGAAACCCATTGGAAAAGGAAGAGAATATAACAGAAATGAAAGGAAATAGCTATTTATGATATACGTGTTAAAAATAAGATTTTATTTTGTGAGTGAAGATGATTAAAAAACAAGCGTAGCGAGTTTTTTAACTTCACGAACAAAATAAAATCACTTTTAACACGTATATCATACACTATTTTTTCTACAAAACAATCGGAAGAACTTTAAACTCAATAAAAATAAGAAATCAAAAAATACCACACAGATCGCAGTGTTTATGAACCAAAATTTTCGTAGCAACCAGTACTTTTAACACTAGTGTTAAAAGTAACTTACTTTTAACACGCGTGTCA